GTGTAGAACAGAGTCCGGGGTAATTTGCTACGTGGCTGCACAAATTTACCAGTAGGGGGAAACGTCAGGACCAGACAATGAGAAACGTTGACATTATCCAAGTTGTCAATCAGAGGATAATAATCAATGCTACAAATACATGAGAATTTATTACATTTACAACGTCTAACCCAAACGGTCAAAATCAGAGAAGAAAGCCGGGTACTCAGAAATCCTGAGAAAGTACGTACATTGATGCACCTACACAAAAGAAGGAACCCTAAAGCACTTAAGGAAATGGAAACGTTGGCTCTAGATGATGGTTCAGTAACGCGCGACATCTCCTGTATATGCGAGGCCATCAACTCTAGTTTTGCCTCCTCTTTTGTCCCCAACATTCAGCCACTTCGTCCTCCACTTCTAAAAAGAACGACCGAACTATACTGCAATATCCCTGTGACATTAAGAGAGGTGCAAAGTGCCATCGCAGCCATAAAACCACCAACTCGTCCAGGTCCAGATGGCATCTCCCCAACTGTTATAAAACTCGGAGGAAAAAATCTCCCTATTGTTATTAAACATCTTCACACTCTCACTCACTACCGGCTGCTTTCCAACCCAATGGAAGCAATCCATTATAATGCCCAAGCACAAGGGTGGTCCGAGAAATCAAGTGTCAAGCTACCGCCCAATAAATCACACCTCTGTTGCTTCCAAAGCCCTAGAGCGAATAGTCAAGAAGAACATTGTCCAATATCTTACAAGACTGGATCTGATCAACCCCTCACAGCATGGCTTTCTTTCAAAACGCTCCTGCGTAACATGCCAGCTACAATTTCTTGATCACGTCACAACTATGATTGACAGAGGAATGGCAATTATTATAATTCTGTTGGACATGCAAAAGGCGTTCGACCGCGTGCCGCACAAGCCGCTGCTGTCTGCTCTAGTGTCATATGGAATTGGAAATCCTCTGCTTAACTGGTCCGACTCATACCTAACCGGTCGAACTCAGGTAGTTAAAATCGGTCAGCAAGATTCTACACCGAAACCAATAACCAGCGGTGTCTTCCAGGGAAGTGTGCTCGGACCACTACTTTGCCCAATCTACGTAAACAATATATGTGACCCGATCAAACATGGACACCCATTTCTGTTTGCAGATGATGTCAAACTGGTTTACTCATTCCATCCAGACCAACTACATATATGTTTGGGGAACATCTGTGAAGACCTATCCGCACTAAGTATAGCTAGTGAGCGTTTATTAATGAAGTTATCCGCAGTGAAATCCCAAGTACTTGGGTACAGATGCCGCATCCCAGAAGGCTCCATCATACTTGCCGAAAACGTGACCCCAACATCTGATTCAGTTCGGGACTTAGGAATTAGATACTCCAACTCTTTCAATTTCTCCGAACATGTTCTTTATCAGGTTGCGAAAGCAAGGCAATTAGCGGATATATCACCAGAACTTTTTCCCTACCTGAAGCACGGCTTGAATCATTCAAGGTAATAGTACGACCGACTATGGAATATTGTACTATCGTTCACAGCCAATTGAGAAAGAAAGACAGAACGGCTCTGGAAAATGTCCAACGATCATTTACCAAGCTGGTCATGGGGCGCTGCTCAAACCTGACTTATTGTGATCGCTGTCGAAAACACCAACTGGATCCACTTTGGCTGAGACGATTAAAGAACAACCTCGTTCTCTTCTACAGTATTATAAACAAACGAATTTACACAGACAGCACCGCACTTGAACTACGGAAGACTGCAGTCTATCCCACACGTAATGGCGGCTACTTGATACGTACAAAACTTTCAAGTCATAAAATTCGGTCGAATTTTTTCTTAGTGTGATACACGTATTTGTGGAACAAACTACCTATACAGATACGCATGTGTACAAGCCATGTCACGTTTCGAAATCTCCTTCAGACGTCCCTCACTATATCAAATGCTTTGAAGATAATTGACTCACAGCAAACTCTAGAATCGTTGACAGAAGCTGGTATAAAAAAACATATGAGAAGATATTCGCTTGCAGCTAGCTTACCCACTACATGTCATTACATACCATATCAAATCCGGTGTCTTTGCAGCCTAGTAGTTCCTCTCTTTATTATCTACTCGTGATGATACAAACATCCGTAAATTTCATATATGAGGTGCACGGGTCTAGCACCCAAGGAAGAAAAATCATAATCCGCAATTCTATTAACAAACTTTTCTTAAATATTATGAAACGTATTCACCATACAAATGATCGCTCCCACTTATGGGGCCGTGTACCGTTTGTCAGTAAATATACAGTTATTTATTTATTTATTTATGTAAACTAAACACCTGCATATTATAGAGAATGAAGAGGTCGGTTTATGAGCCCATGCGCAAAAGGGCACATGCAGGTACCCATGCTGCGGACGGTGAAGTAAATAGCGTGTGACGCGCACCTTTAACGCCTGGATTAGAGCGATTGCGGAGTATCAATCTGATTGCAAATGTAGACCAATTTGGATATGCATGCGCGTTGACGGAGAATAGTGAGCTAACGTAGTTCGCGGACTTGAAACACGATACTCGAACATCGCGATGAATGTGGCCGGAGAGGAGGTATTGGACACAACCCTAAATGAAACCAGGGTCTAGACTCAAATGCTGTGAGAAAAGTCAATAATATTGAAGGGGATGGCTGATGTTGGAGGCTGTGTGAAAAGTGGCTCACATCCAACTAAATAAATCCTGCGAAAGAGACAAAGGAGAATCTCGAACGAGGTAGAGTAGTTAACGTATGATTCGAGCACGAGATTGTGATTTGTGGAACGAGGAGATGTGTGGGACCACATTATACGGTGCTCGGCAATTCACAACACGGTGAGTTAAATCTCCGTCACAGCGAAACAGTCAGGAGGAATGATGAAAGGGAGCTATGAGTCACGAGAACCTGCAGAATTCCATGAAAGCGAATTTGTAGTCGGAAACAGACAACAGGGGACCGCCCATATGCGACGGCTGTTAAGTGGAAAGGAAGAGTTTAAAAAGATATGACGCCATCGCGGATAACGAATACTGATCAAAAGTGCAATAAATGAGGACGGTGAGCAAATCTAAGACCATGTGTCTAATCGCTGCGTTGGAAACCGGAAAAATCGCAATGGTAATCAAGATTGCAATACCGGATTTTGCTGACAAACGGGCATCGGTGATTATAGAATACCATTACCACATTCGAAAGAAGCCAAAATGCGGCACTTGTTCATCGAGATGGTAACCTGTTCATATGCACAAGTAGTCCGGGGACCCACATATCAATAAGAAAGCCAAGACAGAGGAGTCAGGTCGACTTCCGCTGTGGTGGCCTACCACGACCACACGCCCCCAACTAAAAGATACCTCTGGTTCAGCTGACTGCATAAATTCGCGGACCCACATCACTTACAAAGGAGAGTCAAGGAAATTCCCTTTCTCCCAGAAGTTTACAACCATCATCCTGGAATTCCTATATCCCGATCTCGGAAGGCACGACTGGGATGAGGCCGTAGTTTTCTATCATGAGAGCGACTGTGCAGAGTGATAAAACTGAGTGCCCATCAGGACAGCTGCATCGTGAGCATCAGAAAGTTTCATGCGGTACTTCAGTACTGTAATCGTCCGCTGAGGCGGCAAGGAAGTGGCTGGTTGATCAGGAGTGAGATGTACGATGCTGCAATGTGGTCGGGGTTACTAGAGGCACCAGAAACGTAGCTTTCATTAGTACCATAGGCGAAGCAGTGCATAAAGTTGGTAATTGGTAAAATGAGTAGTGTGGATCCCCGAGCGATGTGGCTTGGAAACAACACTGAATCGACTTCCGAAATCGAACGGTTTACACTAACAGATCCCGTACTCATGGACAACACCAAAGTCAGTTGTGCAAATCACGAAGTGGTCAATCGATGCGGGTCTTTCGTCATGAATGCGGTCTTCGCGATCGGCCGAATCAACAGCATCGCTATCATTGTTATGGCGATGCGAGCCAAGGCAACCTAATCTAACACAAGATAATGCTCGGATCCCATAAGACCGATCGAAGTGGAACGAGCACCTACGAGAGTGTGATGGCGACGATAGGGAAAGGGATGGTCGCGCCACATCCATTTAGTTATTTTAAGTAATTATCTTGAACAAGGTATGCAGAATGCTGTGCAAAAACAGATGAGTGGCTATTCAAATTTGCAGATTCCTAATATCTAGTAAACCATATAAACATTAACACATGAAGATTGACGATTGGATTAAAACGGAGCAAAATGCAATAGTACCACTTCCGATAAACCTATGCGAAGGACAGGAGCCGTGATACTTCGTAAGTGGTTAAGAGCATGGCCAATCTACTAATGCTTCCATGTCGAAAACATGAAATTTACTCGAGAAAAAGTTACAGCGCGGTGTTTTATCTACAATGACGTGAGGGTAGCAGATGCGATCCCCTATGGATGTAGATTACCAGGTCACATATGTTCGATGTCCCGTCAGAATGGGACTAATGGCGAGGCCTCCGTGTTAAGTATATGGTGATTCACCAAGCAGTGCCAACACCTTGTTAACCAATAATGGTTAGAGAGGAATATTCTACTGGCGTCACCACCAGAAAAGTCAATGTCCCCGATCTATCCGGCATAAGTGATCGTAAGGAAGCAATGAACTTACAGTCTTGTCACATGGAGTAAGCGTCAGATTGTCTGAAAACGTACACAAATAGTTCTGGTAGTTGCGCCTAAATCGGTGTCTTCGGTGGAGTGAGGATGAGTCCCCGACACTAGGCTACAGCAAAATGTTGTAGCCTGCTAAGATCATCAAGAAGTTCAAGATAAAATAAAATATGAAAATGTACAACGGTGCACAGTGGTGTCAAGAAGATATTTAGTTGGTGTTCATACCTGATGATTGTCATACAGTTGGTTCAAATAGTATGCACCTGGTGGCGCGAGGCTAGGCAGTAATGCACAAATTGCAGAAAAATATTCCGGACTCACCTAGGGATGAAGTTCGATCACTGAAGCTCGGCAGGTAGAAATGACAATTGTTCGAAGCTATATACTGCGAGAAACGCTAAAAAATTAAAGTAAAAAAAAGCAATAAGAGGAGTGAATGAGTGAGGTGTGATACCAGCAACAATCCAATGAGCAGTCGCGGGTAATGAAACAGACTAAGGTGGCAAAATAACAGAGAAAAAGACTGAAGCCGTCAGAATGTCAAACTATCGCCAATGTCATCAAGCGCCGTTTTAAATCACAAGAATGCACTAGGGGTCTAAGATGCCTCAATTCGAATTACAAAAGAAAATGGAGCAGATGTGACCGAGGAATTCAGCGGAGATCTGCTTAGCGCTGGTTGCGTGTCGGCCGGTGGACGAAGGGATGAGGCACCTACCTTATAATCCGAAGGTCCGCGCTTCGAATCGGCGTATGTGCGACCGAGGTCGCAGTCTTCTCGGCTCGCGCTTGGGTGATGGTGGTCGCAAGGCAGTGGTGCGCCGGTGTCGCGCAACATTGTACTGCTTATGACTTAATTTAACTAGCGTGTACTTTCCGACCTTAGCAGAAGGTGCCCGGATAGTCACTGTCAGCTAAGGCTACTTTGCATTTTAACACTCAAGAGATAACGCGCATGGCGCGAGTGATAGAAAGGTATCGATTAACGGGTGTTCCCTACGCGACACCTGACAATCGAACCGAGGCAAGAATCCGCAAAATCATTGGCTCACGTAGCTTTTTTGTGTAAGGCGGCGACCGGGTTTTTCCATTCGGCTTGCCGGGAAAATAGAAAGGCTGCTGATAATAATTCTCTCTGGTATAAGTGACTCCGAATTACTCGGAAAATCCGACAAGCGTAAATAAACGGATAAAGGAGGCGTGAACTCACCTAGTCAAGTTGAGGAATGAAGGTGATACGTATAATAGGTGAAATAAACGAGCTTGTAGAATCTGCCGTTATGAAGGCTATAAGAAAAGATTCGCAGCATGCCGGTACTTCGCATCGACTATCCGTTACCACGCGACCAACACTAGTTGCCAGTGGGATATTGCGAACCGGTGACCTGTGGAGCATAAGCGCTCGGTAGTGACAAAAATATTATCGGTTCGGTATCAGTTAATGAGCCCCGACCAATCTAACAGTAGGACAAGCGGTTACAAAAATAATGAGTGGCTGACAGGTGCGCGGTTATTCAGTACTTTCTAGTGGGTATCAAAATGAGGAGCTAAGCAACTAGATGGAAATAAGCAGCCTCCAAATAATCGTGAAAAAGAGTAAACAGCAGAAAACGATTTTCAAATTTCATTCGGACAATAATTACTCGAGTGTCGAAGTGCGAGGGGCTCAGCTGCGTCATGTCTATTGTGAGAGCGCGGTTTCATAGGAAATAGATTTGGGCGATTACTGCGTATTTGTATGCGTCATGCTAAGAATACTCCAGGGCGATCACTCAATGCATGTGCATGCGCGTGGTCAAGCACTAACCGATGATCGAACAGATCGGACGTAGTTGACGACATACAGGACCCCAAATGTCAGACACAATCAGACGTGAATAAGTGTTCAGGTGTATATCTGATAACCACTTCAAACAACGGCTCATCGCAGTCCGTAGAGCCCAGTATAGATTGTAAATGACCCAGTACGAAACACGACAGTAAGGTAACAAAGCCTCTGATATTGAACTGTGGATTGGTCCTAAATGTAATCAGAATGAAAAACGGCGTCAATAAGCAAGCAAAACAGAAATAAGTACAGTTTGCAAAACGATCTAAAGTTAATCAATGATGAGAGGGGTGGATAAACTGGGTCGGAGCACAAGCCGCCTGATCGGGACTTTCTAAATGCTGTTGAATAAGTGTCGATGGTAGTGGTATGCAAAACGCTCTAAAACAATGCACTAGTATGGGCGGCGCTGAAAACGAGGTAGCAAATCGAGTAGAGAAGACTAGAGATACCCTCACTAAACCATGTAAGAGATGGACATGATACCAGCCTTGACAAGAAACGCAAAGTAGGTAGCACTGCTGTCAGTCTTATTGCTGCAGAGGATGAGGCCAAACCACGCGTGAAGAGGGGAAACACTAAAAAAGTGAATGACAATCGGCTCGTGGGACATCTTAGTTCCAGTTTGACGGATTGATACTACTAAACAGTCCCACATCAAAGAGCAGACGCGACGGCAATCAAATACGAAATCTCAGTGGCAGTCAGCAGAATCGTTTATTGCCAGACGCCTCGCATAGTTATAGAAAAAATACACCATTTTCATTCGCATCATTTCACTGGGTAGCCTGCCATCCGGTTAGACTCAATAGCTGCGTTTTCTTTCAATCTGTTTCAATGGCTCGTGGTTGCCCCATCAACCGCTCCATCGCTGGACTGCGTCTAGATGTCGCCTGTGTACAATGGCTGGCTGTTCGAAATACTTGTGAGGAAAGATGTACCCATGAAATATGTGAACATCCTTCGTACTCTAAACTCGAACACTACAGACCGCGTCAGGAGGTGCGGTGGCCTGTTGGATAGCTTTCTAACCACAAGTGGCGTTCGTCAGGGTTGTCCGGTTTCCCCATTTTTGCTTAATTTCGTTGTGGACCTTATCATGGAGTGTTCCCTTGCAGAATCGCACGATGTAGGCGTTGAAGTGCTGTCTGGTGAAAGATTAGTTGATCGTGATTATGCGGACGATATCGTCTCGCTTTTCGATGATGCTGCGGCTGCACAATCGACCCTGAATAGCCTGTCTAGAGTGGTCCCATTATTTAGTATGCGTCTCTCACCTTCAAAGTGCAAAGTTCTTGCTGCAGGACTACCAGCCACTTTATGACACCTTGATCCTTGCTGAGGAGGAACTCGAAGTGGTTGATCAGTTCACTTATCTTTGCAACTGCATCAGCAACGATGGGCGCATGGAAACTGACGTCAGCTCACGCAATGCAAAAGCCAGAGCTGCCTTCTTGAACCTGCGGCATCTTTGGCGACAGGAGGGAGTTTCCCTTAGTCTGAAAGGCCGTGTATGCAAGGCTACAGTGAGGGTCGTTCTGCTCTATGGTAGTGAGACTTGGCCCGTACGATCTGAAGATCTGAGGCGTCTTCAAGTCCTTGGTCAGTGTAGTCTGCGAAGCATTGCTGGTGTCGGATGGCACCAGTGTGTCCGCAACGATGATATGCGTAACCGAGTACTAAGTAGTGGTAATCATGCTAGCTCCCTAGGACAACAGATAGCATTGAATAAGTTGCGTTGGCTCGGGCACGTGCTACGTACGCCTGGTCACCAACATTGCTTGTGTCCTTTACCCTTGTACAGTGGTAGCACAAGGGCATCCTTCAGCTCAGGAGGCACCTCCTTCTCAATCAATACACGTTGCACCAAGTGGTGTAGCGCAGTCAACAACGCGGGTCCGCCGTGTTTCAATACTTCAGGCGGGATCGCGTCGGCTCCCGCACACTTACCGTTTCGTAGCTGAGCAAGTGTTCTCTGCGTCTGGCGTGTCCGCCAGACTCGTCTTCACAAAGTGCAGCTTCAGGTAGTTCAAAGTAGGCTACTCGACCTCTGAACGGTCGTTCAAGAGATAGTCGAAGCTTTCCCGCCAGATCTGCATTATGTCTGCAGTCTGCGCGCAGGGAGCGTCTGAACTACCATCGATCAGCGTCCTATATATATACCATTATTACTTTAAACTGAACGATTTGCAAGATAAATTGGACATCTTGCAAACCAAATTGGACACATTGCATTCTAAGCAGAAAAGCAGTAATTTGCTAGCAAGAAATGAGGGTAAGGAGACTGCACGATGCTCAGACTACATTGTGGTCATGCCAATGCAACCGAATTGTGTGAACAGCGGGGTGTCATCGTAAATCCTTCGCTTGATCATCAACCTCGATAAAAGGTGGTGATTTAGTTCTCTCCTCTCACCCATCAACCTTCGTGTAGTTCGTGTGCATGTGACTGTACACACGAATCTGTATAGCTGTGCGATTATTGGAAATTCTGATTCGCGATTCGCTTAGTGCATTATTACTGAACCAAATGCTACCTAAATTAGGAGGGTCATTGTGAAGTATTCGATGGACTGTCGAACAACCTCCTCGTGGTGCCAGCTGGGCAATTGGGATAATCCCCGTCTTGGTGAATGGTTCGGCGGCAGTGTTCCAGGACGTAGTGAATTTACGCCTGGTAAACATTCTCTCTATAAAAAACCCACAAGAGTCTGCTCAACAACACTACGGATGTGACTCGCCACTTAGAAGGCACTGCCTCGTGTCTTCTCGGAGACATTGTATACCGGCAAGCAACCAGAGCATCGGATTCCACCTTTGACTTCGGGAGTATTGGGGCTCTGTTATGGCTTTCATCATCCGAAAGGCGCATGCAATGAATCTTCAGTCAACAGCACCCAATAGGTGTGAATCACTTATTTCGCCCTGCTGCCTTGTGGGTTAGGCATTTCGGCAAAAGGCTCAGGGCTGTGGTCCCTTAAGACAACCAACCTACTTCGGCCTAGCCAACCGGGTATTATTTCGCCTACTGATGAAACATGGGTACGCACAAATACGACCTCCACCGGTCTGATGATCCAGTCGTAGGACTACGCCAACTCCGAAAACACACGTCACCAATGTACGTGGTCTTTCTTGTATCACCTATCCCCAGTGATAATTGATTCCTCAACTGTGAACAACCCTACTCCTATCACCCGCCAACTCAACCACACAGTCCTCGACAGGGAGCTACCAGTCCTGAAGTGTGCAATCTTCGCTGATGCAACCTGGAATGCAATTCAAACTGGTAACGCCCAACGTGCGCACATTACTGCAGATCGGACAGCAAGCTGAAGTTGCGCGCATACTGGAGACCCATGAAATAGATGTCATCTGCCTGAGTAAAACTCGACTGCAGGATCCCAACACAGTCTACCAACTGTCGTCACCAGTGTAACCACACACCCGATTTTATCTTCGTCTTTCTGGTGACGCTGAGTCCGTTGCATCTGGGCAAGCTGGTGTTAAATTCGCCTTCAGTGGTAGAGCCGAGACCGCCCTCCTTGACTGGATTGCAGTCAACAGTC